TTAGGTTTAAGGTTAGGGTGATGAAGCCATGTGGGTCCGATGCAGGCAGTTGCTCAGTTAGCAGCTTGCTAGCACCACGAGACTGGCTTCGCATGAGACTGGCACCCTCCGCTCTCAAAACAAATAGAATGCAACAAGAAGTAGAAAAAAAAGAATAAAATGCTGTTTAAAACCACTCATCTGAGCTCAGCTTAATGTGAGTAGAATCCGCGTCGGTCTGATTAGCTTAACTTAGCACACCACTGCAGAACCTCGCAGCAGCGATTCACGTAACTCAAAACACCTAAAGGAACGAAGCACAAAACGAGATCCAGCAAGGAAGCACTACAACGAAGTCGAGAAACAGAAATTGTTGAAAACGAGGGTGACTTGTCTGATCGGTGATCTTAGCTTTGTGTGAGTTGAATCCAGTTGGCGCAGCAGCGTCGGGTCACGTAGCTCAAAGAAAACTCCTAAAACAGAGTAAAACCAGCAAACGACCAGCATACGGAACTAGCAGACAGTTCATAGTAAGTGTGAATTGTACAAAGTGTTTAAAGTCGCTGAATTCTCTCCGCGTAGAGCAGAGCGTATTTATTTCATCCAACCTTTATTGATACAGGTTAGTCCCACTGAGCCTGGACGACTCATTTACAAGAGACACCTGTTTCAACAGCGTCATGACAACAGTGCACGGTTATAAAAGAGGCGTGCAGATTGGTCATTTGGACTGGAGTGTTTGGCTGTGAATATTGTTTTATCCCCCAACACGAAATGTTCTGTTGTTGTTCTGTACAACCCCCCGTCTTTTAATGCGTCATTTTATCACGATTTAGATGAATTTCTTAAACGGTTAAATTGGAAAAGTGAAATTGTTATTTTTGGTGATTTTAACATTAGTTGGCTGGAGAGAGAAAGTAAATTGAAATTAAAAACAACTGCATCCAAATACACATTACATCAAATGATCAAAACTCCCACAAGAATAACACAAAAAAGTAGCACCGCCATTGATTTAACGTTCACTAATAAACCCGAGCATGTAACAAAAACATATAATCTTATTACGGGATTATCGGATCACAACTTGACTGTAATTATCAGAAAATTGTCATAAATACGTCTACCGAGGTTTTGTTTTCGATCAGACATGGTTTTCCAGCACACGGGGATCAGAAGGACAAGACTGAGCAATTTGACAGTGAAATACAGGATCTGACTTTACAAGCACAACCCCAATACCTGCTGTAACGTTCTTACAGAATCTCTTGTAAAGGTAATTCAGACAGTTACAAAGCCATTACAAGGAAGCAGAAAAAGCCCTCGCTGCATGGATTAATAGTGGCCTTGAAACAAATCTCCAAGTACTAATCTGAACACGGACATTCTCATATTTAAAGGTCTTAGAAATAAAGTGGTTAGTTGTCTAAGAAAAGCAAAACCAGCATATTTTACTGAACTGATTTCCCATTCAGGAGGTCTCTTTGGTCACATATCAACAAACTTACACAAAAAGATGTAAATGAGAAAAACAGGTCAACACAACTGAACATTAAGGGACATATCAGAAGAATTGGAAATAAATGTTAATCCCATAGATCCAACAGAGTCCAGTTATTGATACAATTGGGGTGGCTGAGTGGTTAGAGCAGTCGTCCTCCAATGTGAGAGTTGGGGGTTCGATTCCATCAGTAGTCACATGCTGAAGTGTCCCTGGGCAAGACACTGAACCCTCATTACTCTGATGTGTCCCATCAGTGTATGAATGTGATGAAGATCTGATCAGTCTCTTTAGAATGATTTGTTCAATTATCTTTGTAGAGATCTAGTATAGAGCTGTATGAATGGGTCAATGAGGCACAGATTGTTGTAAAGAGCTCTGAGCATCTTGAAATAAGATAGAAAGGTGCTGTATAAGTACAGCCCATTTAGTCCATTTATATATAAATATATATATATATATATATATATATATATTTATATATATATATATATTTATTTCCTTTAATTTTACTCATTGATTGTTGATGTTGTTGTTGTTGTTGTTGTTGTTGTTGTTGTTGTTAAGCACTTTGATAACAGGTTCTGTTTTAAATATGCTCTATAAATAAAGTTGACTTGACATTTACCATTTACAACTGTTCCTTTTCCTTTTAACAAGATCAGTCTTTGTAAAACTCTGCATATAATTAATCAATTAAAAACATTGAGAGCTAAAGACGTTTGTGGGAGAGATACAGAGCTTTTAAAGAAACATACTGTTTTGTCAAACCCTATAACCCACTTAATAAACTTATTTTTACTAAAGGGTTAGTTCCTGATACCTTCAAAAAAGGACCAATAACTCCAATTTTGAAATCTGGCGACTCTCAGCAAGTTAGTAATTATAGACCAATAACTATTTTACCAGCAATATCCAAAGTGATGGAAAAAGCAGTAGCAGAGCAGCTTAATAGTTATTTAGAACAAAAAACAGCTTCTTTGTCCAGTCCAGTTTGGGTTTTGTTCTGGTTATTCAACAGAACTGGCTACGGATAATACTAAAAGATCTCTAGATGATGGTAAGGTAGTTGGAGCTGTGTTCCTGGACTAGAGAAAATCCTTCGATACAGTGAATCATGACATGCTCCTACATACATTTAAAGAGTATAACTTCTCCCAGTTAGCTGTCAGTTTAACATATCTAAAAAATAGAGAACAGTGTGTCAAAGTTAATGGAATTAAATCTAACCCCAAAAATGTACAGTGGGACTTCCACAGGGTTCAGTTCAATTAAAAAATACTTTATTAATCCCAGAGGGAAATTATATGTTGTGGTAACTCATTATCCTGGTTTCATTAGAGTTGTTCTAGATGCTGATGCTGTGGGCAGGAAGGATCTCTTGTAGTGGTCTGTTCTACAGCAGATCTGAAGAAGCCTCTGACTGAAGACACTCTGTTGTTGTATGACACTCTGTTGTTGTATGACACTCTGTTGTTGTATGACACTCTGTTGTTGTATGACACTCTGTTGTTGTATGACACTCTGTTGTTGTATGACACTCTGTTGTTGTATGACACTCTGTTGTTGTATGACA